CACTCACACACACACACTCTCTCTCACACACACACACACACACACACACACACACGCTCTCTCTCTCTCTCACACACTCACACAGACACTCTCTCACATAGACTCTCTCTTTCTCACTCACACACTCTCTCACACACACACACACACACACACACACACACACTCTCTCTCTCACACACACACTCACACACACACACAAATGTGTTTATGGTTGTAGCTCTAGTTAGCGATATTAACGTGGCGTTACACTCCCGCAGGTCTTCCAGGTGGCGTACATCATCATCAAAGCGGCGAACTCTCCGCGGCCCGGGAACTGGGTTCTGGAGCGCTCTCTGGACGGAGTGGACTTCCAGCCGTGGCAGTACTACGCCATCAGCGACACCGAGTGTCTGACCCGATACAACATCACACCCCGCCTCGGGCCGCCCACCTACAAGAGAGACGACGAGGTCATCTGCACATCCTACTACTCGCGCCTGGTGCCGCTGGAGCACGGCGAGGTGAGCAGTGCATGATGGGTAATGGGTCACAGCGGCGTTACTTCAGTATCACTGAGATGCTGTTATAGTTTTCATTTATACTTTGAATTAGAGTTTATTTTTATATTTTCCATTTTCATTTTAGGTAGTTTTGGTTTAATTTTTATTAGTTTTTGTAAATACATCTAAATTTTGAATTAAGTTGAATTAGTTTTTATTTTTATATTTTATATTATATTTAAGTTAAGTAATTTGTTGTTTTTGCTATCTTTTTAATAGTGTTATTTATATATATATATATATATGTGTGTGTGTGTCTATATAATTTTTATTAATATTCTGAATTAGTTTTTATTTCCATTTTTAATTTAGTTGTAGGTAAAGTTTTAGTAATTTTGTTGTGTTTTTGTAATTTTTATTATGCTTTATAAGTATTTCTAGTTTCTATTATTTTGTTTGTTGTTCTAATTTATTTTTATAGTTTTTTGTTTAATTTAATTATGTCTATGTAGATTTTTTTTGTTTTAGTTATTTTAATACTTGAACTGAAACTAAATGAAAGTTTTTTTTAATATTTAATTTTATTTCAGGTAACAAATATGTTTTTTGATGGCTTTAATTTTAGTTAACAATAATAACTCTGTCACAGCTGGTCAAATAATATCATTTTTGTATCATTTTTCAAATGTTGGAATGCTGGGAACAGTTTGTATCATTTATTGGTGTGATATAAATGATATCAATGACTCCAATTTTGATGCAGAGACAGTCTGAAACAAATGTATCACATCTAGAGGTAATTAACTGATTGAATAAACAATAAAAAGAGGATTTATGCGATTAAAAGAGTCTTTCCTCAGACGAGTGGCGGTGTGAAAGTGTGCCGTCTCTCCTCAGATCCACACGTCTCTCATAAACGGCCGTCCCAGCGCAGATGATCTGACCCCAGAGCTGCTGGAGTTCACCTCCGCTCGCTTCATCCGGCTGCGTCTGCAGAGGATCCGAACGCTCAACGCCGACCTCATGACCCTCAGCTACCGCGACCCCAAAGACGTGGACCCCATCGTCACCCGGCGGGTACGGAGCACCGCTTCAAACCAGCTTTAGACTTTTATAAATGCAGTGTTGTGGTCTCAGATGGTAATACTGTGAGATGATCACCATATTTATGCATTAGGCCGATGTCTTGCATTGCGTTCGTGATGTACGTATTATCGGTTCATGCATTTCCTGGGAATCGAACCCATGACCTTGCTGTTTAAGAGCCGTGTTCTGCTGTTTGAGCTACAGTAATTCTCATATAACGGGTTTTTAAATATTTTAAAAAATCATGTTAAATATTTATATAACATTATTTTTAAAGGTTTTTTTTAGATTTAATTAAAAGATTTAAAATATTACATTTAAAATATTACATTTTTATATAAATAAGTTATTTATATACATTTTAAATATTTAAATGTGTATATATAAATGATTTATAAATTAAGTTATTTATAAATTATATGCATTGTAACTACTATTTTTTCTTTTTAAATATTAATTTGAGATATTTCTTGATTAATTCAACATTCAACATTATTTTTAAAAGGCACTTCAAGACATGGTACTCTTTTGTTAATAGAGTAATAGCTGAAGTGACGGACTAACTCTGTCTTGCTCTGGTTTGCAGTATTATTACTCCATCAAGGACGTCTCGGTGGGCGGGATGTGTATCTGTTATGGCCACGCCCAGAGCTGCCCCTGGGACCCTGTTACTAAGGTAACTGACAACAAACACCATCCCATTGGAACTCGAGCTGTCAATCAAATGTGAACTTAAGCCCCGCCTCTCTGAAGTCACTATAATTGTGCCTGCAGTCGTAAAAATGCTGATCACTTGAATAAAGTGATAGTTATTTTATATACATAAAATACAATACTGTAGATTAAAATAAACACTATGTATGATATTGTGTGTGTGTGTGTGTCTGCATGCATCAGTGTGTGTGTGAGTGTGTGTGTGTCTGTGCGCATGCATCTGTGTGTGTGTGTGTGTGTCTCTGGGGGTGTGTGTGCGTGCATCAGTGTGTGTGTGTGTGCGTGCATCAGTGTGTGTGTGCATGCATCTGTGTGTGTGTGTGTGTGTCTGTGGGGGTGTGAGTGTGTGTGCGTGCATCAGTGTGGGTGTGTGTGTGTCTGTGGGGGTGTGTGTGTGTGTGCGTGCATCAGTGTGTGAGTGTGTGTGTCTGTGGGGGTGTGTGTGAGTGTGTGTGTCTGTGCGCGTGCATCAGTGTGGGTGTGTGTGTGTCTGTGGGGGTGTGAGTGAGTGTGTGTGTGTGTGTGTGTCTCACTCGCTCCTCTCTTTTGTCTGCACAGAAGCTGCAGTGTGTGTGTGAGCACAACACTTGTGGCGAGAGCTGTAATGAGTGTTGCCCTGGATACCATCAGGAGCCGTGGCAACCTGGAACGCTTTCCGATGGAAACACATGCGAGAGTAAGACACAAAATAACACTGACTTCAAAACAACACAAACTAAAAAGTATCTTTTTATTTAAAATGAAAATTGAATAAATTGTATAATATTTAATAAAATAATTATTTAATTTATTTATATATATATATAAATTATTGACTTTAGTATAACAAATACTACAGACTGTTAATATTTGTATACAATTTATTAAAAAATAAATGTATTAAAAGTAAAGAACATTATTTAAAGTAAATTAATTTATTAATGAATTAAATATAATAAATATTATATTTGCATATTTAAATATAAAGATAAAAGATACTTTTATTATTCATGTATAAATATATTTCTTATTTGAATACAATAATATGTATTGTATATTTTATTATTAATTTTGCATTGCAGTAACTGAAAATAAAGTCACGATGCAAAAAATCTTTCCCTTAACCACAAAACAAGCACGCTTTCATCTCTAACCGGCTGATCTCTGTGTTTTCTGTCTCGTTGATCAGAATGTAACTGTCACAATAAGGCTGAGGACTGTTACTACAATCAGACGGTGGCAGATCTGCGGCTGAGTGTGAACACACTCGGTCTGTTTGTGGGAGGAGGAGTGTGTGTGACCTGCTCGCAGAACACAGCGGGAGTGAACTGCCAAACCTGTGCGGACGGATACTACAGACCACACCAGGTGTGTGTGTGTGTGTGTGAGAGAGTGAGTGAGTGTGAGTGTGTGTGTAAGTGTGTGTGTGAGTGAGTGAGTGAGTGAGTGAGTGAGTGAGTGAGTGAGAGTGCATGCATCAGTGTGTGTGTGTGAGGGAGTGAGTGAGTGAGGGGGTGAGTGTGTGAGAGTGTGTGTGTGTGTGAGTGAGTGAGTGAGAGTGCATGCATCAGTGTGTGTGTGAGGGAGTGAGGGGGTGAGTGAGTGTGTGTGTGAGAGAGTGAGTGAGTGTGTGTGTGTGAGTGAGTGAGAGTGCATGCATCAGTGTGTGTGTGTGAGGGAGTGAGGGGGTGAGTGAGTGTGTGTGAGTGAGTGAGTGAGTGAGTGAGTGCAATATGAAGTGTCTTGACATGTGTGTGTGTTTCAGGTGTCTCCGTACTCTGATAACCCGTGTGTCAAGTGTCAGTGTGACACGAGAGGTTCTGCGAGTCCCGTGTGCATCAGAGATGATAATCACACGAACCCCGACGCAGGTGGAGTCTGGCTTCATCTGTGCTTCCTGCAGCTCATGTGTGTCTGAACGCAGCAGTGTTTGAGCTGACGCTGCCGTGTGTGTTTTGCAGGTCTGTCCGCCGGTCAGTGTTTGTGTAAGGAGGGTTTTGCGGGTGAGAAGTGCGACCGCTGTGCGTTCGGATTCAGGGATTTCCCACAATGCACTCGCTGCGAGTGTAATCTGGCTGGAAGCCACAACGTCGACCCCTGCAGCGAGTGTGTGTGCAAGGTACTGTGAAACACACACACACACACTTTACATGTGTACAACATCAGTAATGCCTCTAAATGATCAAACTTGGCTGTTAAACCTGTTTCACACTCGATCTCCTCCATGTCTTCTGTCTCTGATTGATAGTTTAGATTATTTTTTTATTCAGTTAAAGCTTTTTTAGTGTAATTGTAGAAACGTTCAGCTTCAGCTGGAGCTTATCGTGTCAAATCTTGACTGGTTTTGATCAAGTAAGCATCAGAATAACGTCAGTAATATCTCCAGATGAACACTTACTGGACTGAAGCAGCTCAGCTTTACTTGATTCTCCATCAATCATGTTTTAGAGTCTCAAATCTGATCCTCAGGATCTTTTGAGGAGCGTTTGTTTCCAGAAGCTTTACTTTCACTGTTCCTCAGCGGAGGAATGATCTTCACAAGCCTCCAGAACATCTCACATCTTCTGAGGAGCCTTTATTTCTTCAGCTCTCAATCACTGCATTATATGTTTGGAGCATTTCAGTCTCATCGTATTATTACTGGAGATATAGAGCCACGACTGATATTTATAGCATTTTATGTCAGTATCTGCTCTACTGTTATAAAGATCTCACTGATTTAGATCAGAATTCATCATATAAATATCAGCATCTGCTGCAAAGTCATATTTTTGCTCAGTTTGAGTCTCTGAATAAATTAAGCTCCATATTCTCACTGTATGAGCCACAAAAGCCTGATATCTGAATATCTAAAGCTTTTATGTTTGTCTAAAGTTTTATAAACTGTTCCTTGTCTGAGTATTATTTGATATGTCATGCTGTGCAGAGTTGTGACT